TTTCAACGACCGGTCTAGACCGTTCAGATGTTCGATATTGCCTACAACATCACCCCCGGTTGGGCACGCTGTATTAAGGCGAGAGGGGGGGGGGGGAAGCCCCGGGGGGAGGGGGAGAAGGTAACCAACAATTTATTGAATAACACAACGAGACTACGTGACTTGAGAAAAAAAAAAAAAAAAGGGTTTTCTGGCACATCCGTTAAAAAAAAGGGAAAAAAAATAAAATGGAAGGATAAATTTATTTAAGCTTTTAATTAATTGCCATGGAAATAGCACTTGTTCTGGTCAGTTTAAAAGGGCGTCGCTCTACTACTCACGAAATGCGCAAAAAGGGAATGAATCTTCGCCTAGAACACGGAAATGTACAGCGCCACATTTTGTCTTTCTGCATGTGGTGAGTAGTGGAGCGAGGCCCAAAAAGACGCGCGCGTTCCAAGCTGTGTGAGAGCAGCACTCGTGCGGAGAGCATCGGCGCCCATTACAAAACAAAAAATTTTATTTTATTTTGTAGAGAACAATTAACGGGCTTCGCTCCTCTCGTCTCGAAATGTGCAAAACGATTAAAAACACAAAAAAAAACGGTGCAAAACGAGAGTGAATCTTCCGCTAGAACATGGACAGATACACCGCCATGATTTTTTGTCTTTTGTGGATCATGTCGAGAGTAGTAGAGGAGCGAGGCCCAACGTCTGCGAAGGCTCAGCGCGAACCAAACGAACACCTTGCGGTGTTTGAGGGGGGGAAGCGGAGGGGGTCCCCCGGGCGGAGGGGCGAAGGATGAGGAAGAGGTGGGGGAGACGGGGGAAGAAGAAAAAACAAAAACAAAAACAAAAACCAAAAAAATTAACGCGGAGGAACACACCCGTCGTTATGAGAAGCAGAGCCTAAATACTTGTTATAATGAATTTGTTGTTTAACAAAAAAAAAAAAAAAAAGCAGCAGAGCCTAAGAGGTCGCCGAGTTACCCGCGAGACGGGAAATGAGAAACAAATGCGTGTGTGCATCTTACCACAGAAGGTGGCAAGATGCATCCATCCGCTACTATTCATAGCAACGGATGCATCTTCACACCATCTACGGGAAGATGCACTCGCAAATCTTTTCGTTTCGTGACTAGCGTGGCGGAGGCTTGACAGCGCAAGGCAAGGCAAGGCAAGGCTGCGGGAAAAGTGCCCCTGCTTTCTGAGAATGAAGACATGTGCAGCCGTACTGCTTTCATCATATATTAATTAATTATTTGATTAATTAATTAATTAATTAGTTAATTAACGACCTCGTGTGCGGAAGCAGGGTTGGTCATTGCTTGGCTCGATTCTCGACTCTTTCGACTGAATTTGGCCGTCATTTGGGGCAGATGCATCCAAGAAATTCCCGGAGCGAGCGTCCTCCAAACTTTCGTCGCTTCCGCGAGTCGGAACAGAGGCTTGCGCAGAAACCATTCCCAAAAAATAAATCTCCCAAGCCCTCCCCGTGATAATCGACCGGAGAGAA